ATTGGTTGTGAGCTAGCGATAGAGGAAAAGCCAAGAGATGTTTTTCTTGTTGATATCTTTGTTTATTATTTATTTTCATAATTTAGCAAAATATAATCATGAATAAATAAATAAATTAATTAATTAACTTATACATTAATTATTGAATAGACAAAAAAATAAACAATTAATTTTAAATAATTAATTTTATTGGATATAAAATATAAATAAAGTGAGCTCATGAGTACAAATATGTTTGATGGGATATTTAAAAATTTGTTCATATTGTTGATAATTAATTGCTTTGATTGGTTGAGTTGATTGATTGATTGAGTGAGTTAGTGAGATTGATTGATTGATTGATTGATTCATTCATTCATTTTCGTTTTACTCCATTGTTGGACATGATGGATAGCAATAATGTTTTTTACATTTTCCGGTGGAAATTAAATTATTTATTGAATATTTTTTTTAGAAATATTTGAAGAGAAAAAAATCAAAAAGAGATACAAGATGGCGGAAGAAATCGACATTTTTATAGCGCAAATGTTTCGAAAAAATTCTGATCAACCCTGGGGCTTTCGCATCGAGGGAGGGTACAACACCCACCAGCCACTCACTATTTCATTGGTTAATAAAAATAGTAATAATAATAATAATTCACAATTCACAATTCGTTTATTTTATCAAACCAGTAGAGATTAGCAATTAGCAATATAATAATAATAATAATTACTGATTACAATTAAAAATAATTCTCCACAAGGTGGCGTACGACAGTCCGGCCGGCTCTATTGGACTGCGTCAGGGTGACGTCATAACGAAAATTTTCAGCCGCCCGACCAAGTTTTTGACATACAATCAGGCAGCCGAGATTATAGCTAACATCAAATCAAATGACTTGATTCTAACTATTGAGAGGTTGGTTCTTCTTCTTGTTCTTCCTGTTCTTCTTCTCGTTCTTCTTTTTGTTCTTCTTCCTGTTTTTCTTCTTGTTCTTGTTCTTCTCCTTTTCCTTTTCCTTCTTCTTCTTCTTCTTCTTCCTCTTCTTCTTTTTGTTGCTATTTTTGTTGGCGTTATTAAATGTTATACAATATTTTATTCAGGAAAGCGACCGACTCAATAGCTTTCCAGCAGCAGCAACAACAACAACAACATCAACAACATCATCAGCAACAACAACAACAACAGCAACATCAGCACCAACATCAATATTTACCGTTCAAGCAAACTTTTGATGATTATAAGCCCCAAGAAGTAAATTGCTTTTTACTGTTGTTGATGTTATTGTTGTTGATGATGATGTGGTTGTTGACGTTGTTATTAGTGATGTTGCCTGTTGTTGTTGATGTTGTTGTTGTTGTTGTTGATGATGTTGTTTCTGCTTATGATGCAGTAGAAGTTAATGCTATTTTTCTATTTCTAGATACTTTTAAAAATATTTTTTGCTGGTGTGGTTTCTAATTTAACTTACTCGACAATGTTTTTTCCGCAGACCTTCAAAGGCTCAGCACACATACAGCTACTGTCCAACGCATCTGCTACACCATCTCCAACATTATACCAGCAACAACATCATCAACAACAACAACAACATTTTAGGTAATTATTGTTATTCATTATATGACTACACACACTCATACAAACACACACAGACACACACACACACACACACACACACACACACACACACACACACACAGACATGCACACACACACACGCACAACACAAAATTACATACAGACAACTTCCTTCCCATCATCATCCTCACTCACTTACTAATGATAATAACGATGATGATGACGACAACCATGACGTCATACCGCAATCTAGAAGTTTCCGAAGACTGCAAAACTTTATGGAGTGCAAAAGTAAAGAAAAAAATAAAATTTAAATTATAAATCGTCTTACGTTATTTTAATATAGGATTGAAAGAATTGAACTATAGATGGTTTTTATAATGAAACACGCACTAAGGAACACATATAGACACGTGAGTAAACACACACACACACACACAAACACAAACACACAC